CTTGACATTTTCTGAGGACATTACACTGCTTATTTGTAATGTTACTCCGTATTGAGTAAAGCCATACATGTAATATGTGGCATTGATTCCATAACCTTCTATTGATAAGTGAAAACTATGATGACATTATGATAAAAATAAGTTTTTTTAGAATTATGCTAAAAATAAGTTGTGATCCATTCTAAGGCCACACATTCACTTTTAGTTCAATCCCAAGAGCTTTTTTTTTTCCTGATTTTGTCTACTCACGACAGAAGTTTCCTTCTGCAGATTAGCAATGGGTATATTGTTCGAGAAAATTGTCCAACATAGGACTAAAACTCAACCTTTTTCTCAAAATAGGACCACATGCATGTTTTACTCTAAATAGGACTAACCTTACCTTTTTTACCCCTAATTCTATTTAATTAATTAATTGATCTAAATAATTGCCCCCTAGTTTCCTTGCACAACCAAGGCAGTCCGTCGGTGGCAGGGCAGTCCGTGGTGGCGGCAGCACTCCGGCAGCGGCCGGCGGCGGATTCCGGCGGCGGCGGCAACTCCGGCAATTAATTAACCCAATTAATTGCCCCCCTAGTTCTCTTGCACAACCAAGGCAGTCTGTTGGTAGCGGGGCAGTCCGGAGGTGGCGGCAGTGAAAGAGGCAGTTTCCGACGGCGGCAGCGGTTTCCGGTGGCGCCGCCGCCGCCGGCGGCCGGCGGCATGTGGCGGCAGAATGTTGGCAAACCTCCAAAAAAAAAATCTGGAATTTTTCCGGCGGCGGTCGCCAGAGCTCCGGCGGTGGCCGGCGGCGGCAGGCGGCAGTCTGGCAGTCCGGCAGTCCCTGGGCAGTAGTGGTAAAGGTTGTGAAGGGTATTTTGGTCCAATCACTAATAAAAAGTCCTATTTAAGGATGTTTAAACTAGGTACTCCTATTTTGAGAAAAAAGCCATGTTTTGATCCTATTAAGGTAAATCTTCCGTTCGAGAAAATTGTCCAACATAGGACTAAAACTCAACTTTTTTCTCAAAATAGGACCACATGCATGTTTTACTCTAAATAGGACTAACCTTACCTTATTTAATAACCTTACCTTACCTTGTTTGATCCTATTAAGGTAAATCTCCCTATATTGTTCATGCAAGTTAAGTGGAAGTGTTGCTGGTGATGTTCATGGTCATGCCACTGTATCTGACTTACCCTTGTGCTTTTTGTGCGAGGAAAGTTATAAGTGTGCCATTGTTTTTTGAAGTATAGTCCCACTTTGTAATTTAACAATTTAAGCCTAACCTTGGAGTTTTCTTTAACAATTTAAGCCTAACCTTGGAGTTTTATAAGTGTGCCATTTTTTTCTTGTTAGCAGGATGAGACTGTAGATATAACTCGTAACTGCTTGTTCTTCCTGATTTGTAACTTGTACAGTTGTACCCATTACATTGGTATTACTCGGAAAGTTGGGATTTTAGCTTGCTTAATAAGCTACTAAAAGTCCATGAAAGTTTTCATATTAGTCATTATTATTTTGTCATTTGGATTCTTGTTATGTTAGGTTTGTCAGTTTGTTTGGGATTTCAGCTTTTTTTATGTCATTGAGTATGTTTAGATCTATGGGAACAAGGATAACTGTGTCAAGCCCACTACATGATTAGCGATTCGTGTTGCTCTTTCAGGAGTGACCGTCTCTAAGTCTGATCATAGAGTTTACAGTCGTAGTTGTTAGAATTTAGTTAGTGTCAGTTCTATTTTTCCTTTGACTGATGTAATGATCCTGAAATTTATGATATGAAAGAAGGCTTTGTTGGCGATAAAAAAATTGGCTAGTAAAAGTATGTGGAGTTTTTACATGGTCCTGTGCCTTATTTTCCAAGGATATTATGAGCCCGTTTGGTAGCACCAAAATCGGCTGTTTTGGCTGATTCTGCTGAAATTTATGATATTCTGGCTGGAGTGGCTGTTTTGGCTGATTCTGCTGATTTAAGAAAAAAATATTTTAAAAATATATTTTATTAATAAATTAAAGAAAAAATTATATGTAAAAATAGCTAAAATGGTCCTCTACAGTAACTTCAGCCAATACAGCCAGAAAAGTAACTCCAACCTTACTTTTTCGGCTTATTACACAATTCAGCGCGCGAAAGTAAAAGTTACGTGTTTGGTGAAAAAGCTGACTGATAAGCCTGATAAGCCGAAAACAAAGTTCTCCAAACGGGCTCTATATTTAAAATAATAAGTTGAATGGATACTTTAATCATTAGTAGTCCAAATTCATTTAACGATAGGAGGATAACAAGCTAAGCCCATGAAAAGCTAAGAATAATCACTGAAGAATTTCTTTCCAACAAACAGAACACATTACTAATCTTACAACACGTGGGCTTACATAGGAGGATAATAAAAGCTTCAATGCTAATAATACATGAGACTATGACAGGCACACAGAAGGATAAAATTAATTTTTTTGCGTGTTCTCCCTTGATACTCCTACCAAGTTGGATGTCCCTGGGCATTATGGTCATGCACTTGGCATAAATGGCACAGAGGTTTGTGTCCTCACACAGGCCAACAAGTAGGCATGCAGCCGGGCCGGGTCAGGCCCGGGCCTAGGCCCGGTCAAGCCTTTTGTGATTGGGGAAAGGCCCGAGACCGGCCCGGGTTGCCAACGGGTCCGGGTCAGGCCGGGCCTCGGGCCAGCTTATATATATATATATATATATATATATATATATATATATATATATATATATATATATATATATATATAGATTTTGGTTCAAATGAGAACACCTCTTAATGTGAGAAGTGAGAACAAATCGAAGCCATCCAAAAAAGGTTTAATCTACGATCAAGTAAATGAAATTAAAGGTTATTTTCGTCTCACAGTGTTTGACCGTTTTTGGTAACTAATCTTTTAGTGTATACGTTGGTCTTGTTTAGTAATAATGGAAAGAATAACTTGCATATCACATTAAATGTTCTACTTCATTTTTCACGTGAATTGGCCGGGTTGTCCAATTACAGAATCAATATATTATTCATTTTTATTCAATTATTCATTCAATCGTGTCTCTCCTTAATTGTTAATCACAATATCATATTCATTTTTTTCAACCAATATTTTTCGTTTTTATGTTATGTACCAAATGTGAGTTACATACAAGTTCATGTGTAAAACATAAATGTTTGTGTGTCACATACCGGTCAATGTGCATTATATACCCGTGGTTGTGTGCTATATATTGGTTGATGTGCATGACATAATTTTTGTGATTCTACGGTCGTATTATGTGCTAAATACGAGTTCTCTAACACATATACATATTGTGTTTTAGATACTAGTTCATGTGTACTATATGAAAGTACTTGTGGGTTAGATATTATTTCTTAATTGTTGTGCGTTAAATATTAATTTTTGTGATTAAGATACTTCTTATTGTGCTTTAATTTATATACAAACTATGTAAGAAATGCAAATTTTCATGTGCATTAAATATTGATGGTTGTGTGTTTGATACATGTTCTAGTGTGTGCGGTAGCTAGAGATGCTTCTTATGATTTATTGTACATATATTATACTTATTTTTGGAAAAAAAATTATATATGACATATTGGTGTCAAATGAAAGATAATAAAAAATTATTTAATTTGATATAATTTTTTATAAAATTGGATTATTATATAAAAAGTTAAATCAATTTTAAATTTGAAACATTTTTATATTATTTGAGTGGTTAGTGTTACCTACTTTTTAGGAGAGTGCCGATTCATACGTTACAATATTAAATGATATTTTTTAGAATTACTGTAATGCCCTTTACTAGACATACGGTTCATTTATAGGGTGCATGGTTAATTTTTCAATGTTTGCATTCCCACAGTAAATTCGTGCATCTACTCCCTTTTTGACCTTTAATTTACTAAGATGTATGGTTAAGATTTGTTCTCACTTCTCACAATAAGGAGTGTTCTCATTAGAACTACTCCCTATATATATATATATATATATATATATATATATATATATATATATATATATATATATATATATATATATATATATATATATTGCCTTTTCTAATTAACCCCCACCCCCCAAAACAGCCCAAATGGCCCAAAATACTCAGCCCAACCCTGAAAGTTAAAAAAAATAAAAAAGAATAAAAAAGAATAAAGCCCGAACCGGGCCCGAAACCAGCCGGGTCGGTTCCATATTACCCAGACCCATACCCACCCCGGTTACCCCCCCCCCCCCCCCCCCAAACCGGGCTTAGACCCGGAACCGGTACCCGGTTCCCAGGCTGGGCCGGGCCGGGTGGTCCGAACCGGGTCCAAGCCTACCAACAAGTACAAGACTACAAGATATATCTTGTTCACCACAAACATTATTTAAAAACAATAATATACTCCCTTCGTCCCGCTATGATTGTCCCATTTTACCTTTTCAGTCCGTCCCACTAAGATTGTCCCATACCTTATTTGGTAGAGTTTGTGTGGTTCTAAATCACTCCTACTTTATTCTTACTTTATCAATTCATTATCAACCACATAAACCCACTTTTATTAATAACCGTGCCACCTTCTCTTGTCCCAAACTTAGGGGGACGGAGGTAGTAGTACCTAACATTTATCTGATATTACAAAAATAAATAAGTTAATGCTATTTAAGAATATAGTAGTATTAGATTGTATCCCAATTTACCATTTTAACTCCCACAAAATACAACGTTTTTATCGTAATTTTCATTGATATAAAGTTGACAACACTGAGTTAAAGTAGGATGATAATACTCCTTACTTGATCCGATCTCTATTTAGAAAGACTGCTTAGGTGTGGAACCTGCTTTCGAAGATGACTTGAAAGCAAAAATACTTCAGTGTGTTCATTAGAGGATTACAAGTGGGGATTAAATACCCTAATGAAAGTAGCCTTTGCAGAAGCTAGGCAGAGTGTTTCACATTCTATTACTAGTAGATTTTTATTGTAAAAATGTGATTCTTTTTCATATTGACAAAAAGTGACTTCATTAGATGTAAAATATCACAAATTCATTATGTTAAAAGGATAGTAAAATTTTAGGACAAACAGAAAATAAAAATTGACTCCAATTTAGTAATGTTTAAGTAAAACCCGCAAACAAATGTATTCCACAACACTGGTAGGGGTACAGGGAAACAAACACAAACTATTAAGTATTTCGTGTCTACGTTGAATAAGCTTTCAACAGCTCAGATAATGCCTCCACAAATTGTGGATATTCTGGAAACGCTCACTCACCTGCGCACAAATTAATACACAGTTACACACGCGTGTGTAGTAATAATAAACAAATACTTGCTTCATCCTAAAAAAATTCTCCCTTTCCTTTTCGAGATGTTCCAAAAATTCCCCCATTTCTCTTTTTGAAAAGTTTTGTGTGATTATCATTCATTTACGCTTTTCTTACTCAATCACAATTATACATTTTCACTTTATTTATTCTCACTTTGTTAAATTTCGATCTAAGTCAAACCGAGAAGAATTTTGAGGGATGAAGGGAGTAATAATAACAACAGTAACAAAGAGCTTATGCATGACGGCATGATGACATTACCGCTTTCACAAATGAGTCAACATTACTCCACTTTTTGTAGCTGTGAAACTGATCGAACATTTTACGAAAGGATCTACACATGTCTGGGTCACTTTTATGAATCTCCTGCAAGTTTAGGAATTCTGTTTATATCTCTCTTTTGCCAAGGTATTAAAATATTAACAGGTAGAAGAAAACTATATGTGCACACCATGAATCATTGTAGACATCACTATTACCTTTGCAGTAGTTTTAAATTTTACCCAAACTGGACTGGTTTCTGGACACCAGTAGTTATGCTTCTTTTCCATATCAGCTGAGTAACACCTCCTATGCTTCTCCATATCAGCAGAGTAACACTTCTTCCTTGCAAAATACCAATCTTTCAGGTGAAGAATAACCCAACATAACAAACTAGTGACCCAATCTTTATGAAATGATTGAGCTGCAGTCATTCAACACAGCCAGCATCAGGACGAAGCAAAAACCTTGCCCTACGCTTGAAGATTCCTTAGCAACAGAGCGCTTTCTCCCTGCAAATCCCAAAAGCAAGTATGGAATGAGTGACAGAATTTAACACATAATAAACGAGCAGGAAACTACAATCAGAGAACGGTGCTTAGTGTTTCAAATGCAGAACAAACATATCCAGAAACAAATAATATGAAGTACCTCGCCCAGTGTTTGAAGATTGTGCAACTGGCAACACCTTCTTCCCTACAAATCCCACATTCTCCAGGGCGAATGAAGAAAGAAATGGACAAATTCAGGAGATAGATACCAGAAAAAACAATTGTGGAAGTGAAAGGAATTAAAACAAAAGCACAAACAAGTTAAAATAAACAAGATTAGTTCAAACAAGGAAATCAGAAACAAAACCTCTTCTGGTGCTAGAAGATTTCTCATCTTCAGAGCGATTCAGCCCACTCCCTGCAAATCCCATATTTCAGAAAAACTTAAATTAGGAAAGAGAAAGTGATGACAGACTTCTAACAGAAATATCTGGATGTAAATGATAATGAAAAGTGAAAAAAATCAAATCCAGGCCAACTATATAGTATATCACCAACCAAATTAAGACTCCGAATATGAAGATAATTCTATTCATTTCACCTCTGCCCTTCCCCAACCCCTCAGCCACCCGAATGTTTATCTACGGGCACCCAATCACAAGATCAAAATGCCAAATACATGTTGGAACAATCCACCTCCACAACCAGAGCAATCCAACCAGTTTGTAATAAAACTAGAAGAATTTAAAAAAAAAAGAGCATACAAGTTCAAAAGTAAATGTGGTTTCTAAACACGGACTAAATAAAGATGCCGCAGAAAACATCAGATACGAACATAATTCCATTGATAGCAGTCTTGTCTTTTCCCAACCCCACATCATGATGGAAAAGCTCTGTTTCGGGCCAACGAACAACCGGATCAAAGTTCATCAAAGAAACAACGGATCTCGTCGATAACCCTTCACCCTCCTCGATAACCAGGATAAGCCAAGCAGATCATCGTAAAACGCAATGAAATTCGAGATTTACAAAACATACTTTTCCTATTTTATACCTCAGATCTCGTCGCATCTATTCAGAAGGAATGACGAAATCGAATTAAATTAAACAAGCGCAAGGAAAATTCTTACTTGTAACGGGAGCCATTTGAGAGTCACCGTTCGTTCGGCTAAAGATTGGGATGGAGGAGACCAAGCATGAATTTGGTGTCAAGAATGTATTAACTCCTTACTATTCAAAGCTGATTGCCGTGGGTTTCATCACCGGATCACCCTAAAATAATGGTAGGATGCACATTTGGAGCGCAGCGCCTATATCCTGAGTTTTTTCCACATTTGGAGCGCAGCGCCTATATCCTGCAGCAAGGAAGGAGAGCTCAACATTGTTAGGCAACGACTACACTATGCCATTTACTTGTTACCATATTGCTTTTTTAGATGAGAGAAAGAGTCAATCCAGTACATAAACTCAAGATGGGGAGTAAAGATTACATCAAATTGCATATCAAATTGCATTTGAAACGAAAAAGTACATATACTCGCATATTTGGTGTCAAAGTAGTACAAATATGATATTAACGTTTAACAACGCTAACATGGCATTTAATAGTTGTTTCTTGAGTCCGACTCAGCAATTCCCATCCTCCACATACCTCATCCGAGTGAGAACGCCATCGTCCAATCTAGAGCAGAACTGGAAACGTCTTTAGCAGCTCAGAGGAAGTCGGATAGATGCTCACCGATTCCCCAGTGGCTATAGCCGAAACAAACATTATATTGTGGCCGTTGTCCTTCGCTTATTGGTTTACCTTATATCATCTTGCATCCATAAATCAGTGAGGGAAATAGCTTCTTCACCCTTTTCCTTCTTCCTTTGGCTCTACTCGGCACACAAAGAAAGCGTGTCCACAGCCCACCAGCCTATCAACCGCACATTGGAGGATGGGATTGGCTGCAATGGCACATTGGAAGTCATCTCCAATAAGGACGCAAGGTGTTTGATGATTATCCTCCGTTGAATCTTTCTGTAGGTTGCCAGCCCTTTGAGGATAAAGTTGGGGGCGATTGATTCTGCAGTAATAATTAGGTTTCGAACATCCTAATGTTTCAATGAACAGATGACATAGCTTTATTTTGGACACATCAATAAGGACACTATTTTATTTGTCAACTCATCAATATTAATGATTTAATCTAACTGATATACTACTTTAACACTAAAAATGCAAGTATATGTACTTTTTCCGTTTGAGTTGCAATATATGTACACTTTATTTTGTGCCTCACGAGTTGATGTACTAAATTGACCTTTTTCTCTTTTTTAGAAACTTAAATACGGAGTAATATATATTCTTAAGTCTCATAAAGCAATATCTCATAATTGTGTATTACTCGTTCCTTTGAAAATATATTACTTTTTCCAAAACCATTAAAAATATAATCAAAACTTAATACTAAGTATAAGATATTCAACTAAAAACATAAAAAAATAATTAAAACTTATACGGAGTAATAAAAAACTTAGTTTGTGATATTTAACTAAAAATAACAATTTAATCTTATAAACTTAATATAAATGAATTAAAAATATCATATAAACTTTTTCCCTAAAACATCCTTTATAGCAGCTCAACTCTGCTCTACTCAGCCTCGGTTTGAATGTTATCATTAATTTTTATTGATTCGAATCCAAATGTGATGCTCTAATTTGAGCTAAAGTGTTACTACCTCCGTCCCACTATGTTTGGTACAAAGGGGTGTGACACAACTTTTAAGAAAAATTGGAATTATGTGATTGATATTAAATTGATAAAATATGAATAAAGTAAAAATGAATTGTAACTACCAAAATATTACCAAATATGGTATGAGAAAAACTTAAAGGGACGAACGAAAAAGGTAAAACGGGACAAAATTAGAGGATAAGGGGAATACATGTTAACTTTTAGTGAAATTTGAAATACATAGATTGTAATTCCAAGAGCATATACATTTGCCCGTGTATTAATCGTTTCTTTAGAGATATATAACTTCATTTTCAAACAATTAAAAAATAACACAAAGTACTAAATTTGAGACAATCAAAAAATAAAAACCTAATTAAAGTTTATAATTACTAAATGTCATGAAAGGCTTTTAGACCACCCCAATTTTAAAAAATGGGATATTATTCATGTAAAAAAAATCACATCAAAATTTATCTATGATAAAAAACTTGATAATTAATATAAGAAAAATTCTTGATACCAAACCGCAAAGTCACATTAAATTTATCCAATATATTTTTTTTATAATTACATTGCAAATTATGTTTTATATTATAAGTTTAAATTATGTTTTTATTTTTTTAACTGAACATCTCATATTAAGTTTTTATTATAATTTAATTGTTTGGGAATGAAAAATATATTTCTAAAGGAATGACTAATATTTCTTAAGAATATACGAAGTATTATTTAATGAAACGAAAAAGCAGTAATGTAACAAGTGCATTGTTTGGTGTATTGGTTGCCTATCATGTGGAATATCATGTGGAATTTTACTTCCTGTGTAGGAACGCGGGTTCCAATCCCCTTGCCTTCAAATGTTTTCTATATTTTAATTGCACACATAAATTATTAAAATTATATGACATCTAATTATTAAAATTAGATGACATGTAATTGTTGGGCACTTGGGCTGATGTGCATGAGTGATGTGGCATCCACAGTGAGAATCCGATGACATAGCAAAAAATTACCCTAGTTTGGGAAATAAGTTTAAAAACACTTTCATGGGAAATATTTTTGATAGGCTTTAACAGCACACATAAATTATTAAAATTAGATGATATGTAATTGTTGGGCTGATGTGGATGAGTGATGTGGCATCCACAGTGAGAATCCGATGACATGGCAAAAAACTACCATAGTTTGGGAAATAAGTTTAAAAACACCTTAATTTGGGAAATAAGTTTGAAAAACACCTTTCCATGGGAAAAACTCCCTATATCATTCATCCGGGTGTAGGTACACCCAATATTTTTGATAGGTTGAGGCGCTGGAGCTACTCCCTTTTAATTTTCGGTCAAGGCTCCACTCCTGCGCATCTTTAGTTCCTTACTTCGCACGTTCCTTTTTTTATTTTCACTTCGTACGTTCCTTTTTTTTCTTTTAATTTGTTTATTCTTTTTTTTTTGTTTGTTCTCCTTTCTTTTTTGTTTTGTTTTTAGAAACTTTCTACTTTAATATTATATTCAATTAATGTATAAAATAAAATATTATTAAATGTTTCTGATTTTTTTAGATTCATGTAGGAGTTGGTTATAGATATAGGAGTACAGACCATAATACTCAATAGAGAAGGTTTGATGCTCAATAAAAATGTCTTGAAGTCCAACTTAAAAAATTATGATTTTCATATCAATACTCATTTTGTAAGTTACATTTGTTCAATTTGCACTCATATTATGCTCATTTTTAAAATCTCATACTCATGCAACTTTTAAAAGTTGCATATGGCATTAGATTCACATTGTTAAGTTCCTAATACTCAAATAAGCATGATGCTCATCGAAAGTGTTTCAATGCTTATCCGGTGATCTTATGCTCATTTTCTACATGTCATATCAATACATTTTCTTTAAAGTACTATTTTACATTAGATTCACAAACCTTGCACTTTTCATATGAATGTGCACTTTGTAACTTATGTATGCTCATTTGGTACTGATGATATGCTCATTTTTAAAATGTCATATTAATGCATATTTCAAAAGTATCACATAAGCAAATTAAACTTACCAAACGCGCATTGATATGAAAATTGCCAGGTTTGTTTCTTGAGTGTCACGGCACTTTCATTGAGCATCAGACCTCTTCCCTTGAGATGAAAATCACAGTTTCTGTTAAATGGGCATTAACGAACTCTAATGAGCATCAGACTTATTATGTTGAATATCAGGAGTCTAATATTCAGAATTATGGTCTCTGTTTCATAACTTCTAATTCACTTTTTTTTTGTTATTTTTCTTTTATAGAAACTTGTTAAATGTTATGTATAAACAATTCCTATGAAAATCAATATACGACTTTAATGTGATATGATACTTTTGAAATATGCGTTGATATGACATTTTACAAATGAACATAACATTAGTATCAAATGAGCATATGCAATTTACAAAATGCGCATTAATATGAAAAGCGTAAGATTTGTTACTTAAATGTCACGACATTTTCATTGAGCATTCATGAAATTTTACTGAGCATTACACTTATTATGTTGAGTATAAAAGTATAATATTGAGTATAATGATACTTCTGAAATATGATTTTTTACATGACATTTATAAAATGAGCATATGATCAGTATCAGATGAGCATACGTAACTTACAAAATGAGCATTAATGAATTTGTTAGTTGAACATCACGACATTTCAATTGAACATCAAACCTCCTCTATTGATGATGGATAGTTTACCCGGGGGTAGCTTATCCGAGGGGTTATTGCGGAGAATAACTAGAGAGAAGTCAGAGCCAGCAAGTAAGAGAGAGAGAGAGTCAAATGTATTAAATGATCTCAGCGTGGTTTACAAGGAGAATAAGGGATGCTATTTATAGCAGTCATAAATGCGATCAGAGCACACGTGTCAACAATCTAACGACCGAGGGGTCACCTCAATCGGGGTGGCACCAGCACTTGCATGTGCACCGCATTAAATGCGGTGGTTGCTTGTCTCCAAAGGAAGCTTCGTGGGGTGTAGATCCTTCAGCCTGGATCATATGGATGAACGCTACTTAGGATGTTTTTACTTGGACTGTAATTTGTCCCAGACCAGACCAGACCATACCAGTCCAGACCAGACCAGACCAGTTCAGACCAGACCAGACTAGACTTGGATAGTTATAAAAATACAAAGAAACCAGACCTTACCAGACCAGATCAGACCAGTTCAGACCAGACCAGATCAGACCAGACCAGACCAGCAAATTACAGTCCAAGTAAAAACATCCTTATGTACCGAAGGCATGTGTATGCCGAGGGCACCCAGTAGCCGAAGGCTACCGTTTTCCGCTGTTTTCATCTAGTAGGTTTGTATGCTCGAATCTGGTTGTCCTGTGGGATTTGAAGCCCTCAGCCATAGTTCCGAAGGCACCCACATGTGCATCGTGGGCTCTTTAGGACTTGGGCCGCCGTGTTTGGGCTTCGTGTGCTTGTTGGGATTGATGGGCCTGAGTAGGAGAAGCGGGAGTCTATGGGTCGGGGGTTCCTGGGCCATATACTCCATCAGGAGTCCCCCACTCCCTTTGCCAAAAGGTACTTGAGTAACATCAGACAAAAGTTCCCCATTTGTGAGAGAGAATGCAGTACGAGAAGGTAGGGGGTACGGACAGGTTTGGCAGTGTGAAGATGAAAACGGTGTAAGAGATCAGATATATACTTAGCCTGTGACAAAAATAGACCCTTAGGTGTGCGCTGAGCTTGAACACCCAAAAAATAATGAACACCCCCCATATCCTTCATCGCAAACTGATTAGATAATGTTTTTATGATGGAAGAAACAAATGAAGCAGAAGAGCCAGTAATAAGAATGTCATCCACATATAAACGAATGTAGACCACCTGAGACTCATTACGATAGATGAACATGGATGAATCAGACCTGCTCTGTGAGAAACCACGACTCAAAAAAAACCCACTGAAGCGGTGCAACCAAGCTCTAGGAGCTTGTTTCAAGTCATAAAGAGCCTTGCGAAGGCGACACACATGATTAGGATAGGAAGGATGAACAAAACCCTGAGGTTGACGCATATAAACTTCCTCAGCTAAGATAATGACATCTTGTGTACTGTGATGTTAAAATAATGTTGGAATTTTGGAATAGAAAGATGAAATTTACAGTTATTAAAACATGTCATTTATTTTTAAATGATGAAAATTTTGAATTAAAATGTCTAAAATAACTTGGAATTCAAGAGAAACACAAAACAGAGAAGAAAACGGAGGAGGAGGATAGTGATGGCAACGGGGCGGATCGGGGACGGGTACACATAAAACCGAAATCGCCCCGTCGGATAAATGTTTGTCCCAAAACCGCCCCATTACCCGTTCGGGTAATTTTTATTTGAACCGTACCCGCCCCAACGGGGAATCGGTTTATCCACGGGTAACCGTTTCCCCAATTGATGCCAAGTAACCATTTTTTGGAAAACAAATAACCAATTTCTAATCCTACTTGTTATTTATATATTCAAAGCACCCTAAAACATACAATTAGTAAATATTTAAGCAATCAAGCAGACTGGCCTAAATCCATTAGTAAAAAAGGTAGTAAATATCCCAGAATCTGAATTCCAAAAACAGGTTTAGGCCTATATTTAGTTTTAGGCCTATACTTTTTAGCATTATTTATATGATATATACTATTTAGTATACACAATTTAGCATATATACTTATCAATGTTCTAAAAGGCGCTAGGCGCTAGTCGGGCGCCAGCATAACGCCTAGCGCCTAGGCGCCTAGGCGGGCGCCTAGGCGGGGATTAATCGGAGACATAAAAATTGTAGTGAGTAGGGGGAGGAGGGGGAGTAGGGGGAGGAGGCGGGGGGAGGCGGAGGAGGAGTGATTTTGCTGGAGAAATCGGTTAAGAGGTGGTTATCGGCGTCGAGCAGGCAACTTCGATGAAGAGGTGGCAGCCGGTATTGAGCAGACGGCTGCGATGAAGAAGTGGCGGCCGGTGTTGAGCAGACGGCTGCGATGATGGCGGTTGAGTTGCGATCGGAATAGATCAAGTTGCGTCCTTGGCACCTTAGTCGGGAGAAAAGGGCTGAATCGCAGGTGTAGGATTGATGGCAGAGCGATTGGGGAAACGTGATTTTTGGATTAGGGGTAAGAATGTAATCTGGAGTCCTTTTTAAGTAATTTAAAACTTAAAGTCCTATTTTGGAGTTGTAATCATGTTTTAGTCTCATTTATGATAATTTCTTTTTTGATTATTATTACATAATTTAGCACCCAAAGGTTTCAAGTTACTAAAAGGGACCTTTTAGCTATTTTTATATAATATTTCATTTATTTTTTAAATTGATAATGAAATAAAGACTAAAATAAAACCTATGACTTTTCACTTTTCAAAAGTAGGACCAATTTTCAATTTGACAAAAAAGAGACTAATTTACGGAAGAAAGAGACGGACCAAATTAAAGCTCTGCTCCATGACTCCATCTATCGTCATTTCAATAGGAAGCAAGAGACGGACTGACACTAGAGATAGCGACTGCCAGCAACAAACCATAGAGATTAGAGAAGTCTGTCGCACCACCATTGCTAGTCAATAACATCGTCGCCGCCAAGAGCATTATCGCCACCACCAAGACCATTAGTATCGCCGCCTCAAATGCCATTAATATCGCCGCCGCCAAGGCCATTATGTCCGTCGCTGGTGTCTAATCGGACGAATGGATCTACTCTTTCCTCTTGTTCTTCTCCTTTTTGTACTGGAGGATTTGCAATCGCTCAATCGATTGGTGGGGGCTGCTGGGCGGCAGTTAAGGCGGTGGCGAGGGATTGGCAGGGAAGGAAAAGGGGTCGTTGGTGGCTTATGAAGGGTGCTTGAAGGGGGTTGGGGCCACTGATTGCTTCGGTAGGGTGCTGGATGAGGGCTCTTGGGTGCAGGGGTTAAAGGGGGCTGGGGGAAGGTGTTGCAGGGCTGTAGGGTGCTGGGGGAAGGTGGTGGAGGGGATCTATGGGTTGCTGGAGGCTGGGGAGGGTGCTGGAGGGGGGCTGAGGGAGGATGTTGGAGGGGGGTGGGGGTTGGTGGGGGGGCTGGGGAGGGGCTGGTTGGTGACGGGTGGCAGTTGTCACCACTGGGAAGTGGATGTCACCGTCGGGTGGCGGCGGAGATCCCCATCGGACGGCAACGGGCGGTGGTCGGGGAGGCGGTGGTCGGGGAGGCGGTGGTTGGGGCAACGGTGGTCCGGGAGGTCGTGTCTGTGTTGGTCTTGAATTGGTCGTGGTCATTAATTAAGTTGGTCACTAGTCGAATTGGTCACGGGGATTGGTCACGGTCGGATTGGTCACGTTCGAATTGGTCACTGTCGGTTTGGTCACGTACTGTCGGTTTAATCATGGTCAGATCAGATTGATCATGATCGGATTGGTCAATGGTCAGATTGGTCACTGGCCGAATTAGTCACTGGTCAGGATGGTTATGGTCAATTGTGATAGTTTAGTCTCATTTTTGGAATTTTTTAAAAAGTGATTCTATATTTGTCCATAGCACTTGTTTTAGTATTATTTATGGACAAACTCCTATAAACTTTTGACCTTTTGCTTCCCGAATTATTTATTCTTATGTTTTTTTATATTTTTTCTTTTACTCATAAAAGAATACTCCGTATTAAATTAACTAAAACACTTCATATTGTTGAATTCATTCCATTAACGAGGAGGACTGAGGAGGATCTCCTAGAATAGCTTTCTCATCGTTCTTCTTTTCCTCACCACTCCATACTTGGTTTCCCCACCTTTGTCTTCTCTCCCTTTTGCGTTCATCCTCCCAGCTTTTATTCTGCCTATAGAGGCAAAACATTTGTTGGAGGCATGTGAAATTGTCACAAACAAAGTACGAAGAAAATCCCTAATTGTGCTCTTGAATACGAAGATTCAAGAATGAAGAAAATCCCTAATTGTAATTGTGAGGAACGAGAAAACACATCTTTTGTAATGTGTGACTAGGGGTGGTTCGGTACGGTATACCTTATATTTTTTCCCATACCTTTGCCGTACCAAAACTTCGGTATGCAAAATTTGCATACCTTTACCTTACCAAAGTTTCGGTATACCGCATTTCGGTATACCGAAGTTTCGGTTCGGTAACGGTACAATATCGGTGAATTACCGTGCATGTCTCCCAATACAAAAATTATCATAGACTAACGAAATATACTAAATCGTTATTACTAGCGACATATTAAATCTATTATTAAAATGTTACGAAATACAATTAATAATCTATTGATGTCAATTCAATATTGAACAATAATTATTATTAGTATATTTTAGCAGTTCAACATACCACATATTAAAAAGTAACACATTCTCCTAAAATAACTTGAACAATATAGATATAATTAAATCAATAGTGATCTCTAACAAAAATAAATAAACCTATTCAAACAACATGGATATAAAATCATTTATTCCTAATATGATATTGTGTATTTAGTCATTTTTTTAATTTTTTAAAAATTGAATAAGACTTTCGGACAAAGTTGCGTGTCTCGACTCGCTGAATCCCTATGTAGATACACTTGTCACATAAGTGTATCTCTCTTTACTCGTCAGCTACTTAGCGACCCAGCCATCACGACTTGCAAGCTCTTGGAACAAGATGGACTTGTTTCTTGACATTTGTACATTACTCATTAGTCATTTAAGGTTAGCGTAGTAGAAGCCTATAAGATTATAGTGGGTTTGAGAAATTGGGCCTTTATTTTTGTATTTTTGTATTTTTGTATTTGTAACCAACTTAAGTATTAATTTTGGGCTTCAAAATTGTAATGGATTTCTACAATATATTAGAATTAAAAGTAATTGTTGAGTAGGGAGTCGGTACGGTATTATACCGGTATACCGCGGTATTTGAAAACATTTACCGTTACCGTACCGAAATAGACCGGTACGGTATGATACCGTACCGAAAATGACGGTATACCAATATTTCGGTATTTTCAGGTATTTTTCGGTACGGTAAGTGCGGTATACCGATATTTCGGTATTTTTGCCCACCCCTATGTGTGACGGCCTGACGGGCGTCGCGTGCGCTATGCAGGTTGTTTAATTAATTGAGTGACATCATGGTGATATCACCCCTGGATAATAAAATCCCAATTTTTAAAAGCTCTTATAAATTATTTATTTTTTACCCAAGTGTTTCAACAAATATATCAAATTCATACTCCCTCCATTTTCTAATACTTGTCCCTCTTTCCATTTTGGGATGTTCTCTAACAGTTGTCTCTCTTTCCATTTTTAGAAAGTTTTATCAATAAATATATCTATATACACTCATTCCCTTTCCTACTTTTCATATATTTCCTGCCTTTTCACTTAAAAACAACTTATTACACCTTTTACACTATCCCTATTATTTTCCTCTTAAAATTTGTGCCAAACCCTATAGAGACATCTAATAGAGAACGGAGGGAGTATAATTTTATGATCTTTCATATAACACAAATATTACATATATAAATTGTAAAATAATATAATTTTAATTGTTGGAGTTTTCATGAACCTAATAAAATACAAAGACAAATTTTTAATCCATGGGAGCCTTCATAAATAATTGAGTATTACATGAAATCATTTTATTTTTTATTAAAACTGAAAGAGTAAAAACTAAAGTAGCAATTTTTAATGGATTTTTTACATCGAAATGTGTATTTTTTGTTTCATGATTATTTAGAGAAAAAGTTAAGTAGATAATATTATTTATAATAATTTGATTAATCTTTTATTAAATTGATATGTAAAAAAATATGTTGGGTGTATTTTATTAATGATGATCAAATAGAGAAAAACAAGAACTTTAAACATTGATTTCATGTGGTGAGGATGATCTAGGGGTGGGCATAACGGTTTGGTTTAACCGAACCAAACCGTACCAAACCGAACTAAACCGAACCGAAACCGAACCGTATGCAATTTGGTTTTAGTTTGGTTCTATTTCTTTCAAACCGTATTAAACCGAACCGAACCAAACCGAAACCGATAAAAACCGAACAAAACTGAACCGAACCGAACAACACACACACACTTTGTACTTATCTTCACTCTTCATTTTAAGATATAAATAAAAAATTTAGACATGAAAATGCTTATTTAAGAATACTCGTATTATTTTAACTTTTACACATTTCAAACATTCATTATGACAAAGTTAGCTAATACGACATATTTGTATTTATTATGTTTGGCGATATCAATAGCAAATTGTATTTATATTTCTATTTCTATTTCTGTGTGAGTCTTTGGTTTAGTTTGTTTCAATTGGTTTAGCAGGTGAAGGCATGTTGTTTAAGCTAGGTTCTAGTATTTCATTTAGTTGGAATTTCAATTGGTTGTTTAAGCAGGTGAAGGCAGGTTGTTCAATTGGTTTGGTGAAGGCTGGTTCTAATATTTCATTTAGTTGGAATTTCAATGAAAACAAAACATTCAAAATTACTCAAAGTGGATTGTAAAATATGAAATAAGACATAATTATTTTCAAGTTTATAAACCGAACATCAAACCGAACACCAAACCGAACCAAACCGAATTTTTCCCAAACCGAACCGAAACCAAACCGAAATTCTTTTGGTTTGAATTTGGTACTATTTTCCTCAAACCGAATAAACCGAAACCGAACCGAAACCGATAAAAACCGAACCGTAAACCGATTCGCCCACCCCTATGAGGATCCATATATATTTAACATTTTATCCATCTTAGTATGACCGCTATTATTATTATTATTAGGAAACTTCTTAAATGATGGTCGGACTATGAGAGTGTAGTGATTGAAGAAAGGATGCGAAATTTGTGGAAACATTTTGGTTAGTAAAAAAAACGCGGTGAGGAAGATCCATGAAATGAGGGACAATTTTCCGTTCTATTCCATTCCGACACGTACGGCGGATCCGCCGCCCACTCAACGTTCTATTTGCCGCGCCAAGCATCCGGTCGACAGAATTGCGGCCAACGAATAAATTAAATCAAAAAATACTTTCCCCGGCGCGGCCGACCTCATTCCGAAATACAATACTTCATACAGGAATTGATTGATGGAAGGTGAAAAATCGTTATTGACCGCGATCAAGGCGACTTTGACCAAACCTTCATGGGTAGTCTTCCTCTTCCTCCTCTTTGCTGCAGCAGCTTTATTCGGATTCCAGATTCCCAAGCAGGACGAAATTATTTTCCCGCCGTCGCCGCCATTGGGTTTCATCTCCGGTGGAATGGGGCCGGAGAGAAGGGGTGTCTTCAGCTGCTCCGATTTCTTCTCCCCGGTCAACCCGCCGAGGAAGGTGGCCCGGTCGATCGCCGACTTTGGCGGAGTTGGCGACGGGGCTACGTCGAATACGGCGGCGTTCCGAAGGGCCATGGAGTTTATGGAGACTTTCCGTGAGAGGGGCGGGGCCCAGCTTAACGTTCCTCCGGGGCGGTGGCTGACGGGGAGCTTCAACCTCACCAGCAATTTCACTCTTTTTCTTCAACGTGGAGCTCTCATTTTGGGTTCCCAGGTAATTATTAATTAATAATCAGTTAAATGATATCATTTCCCCTACAAAAAAAAAAGGATTGATAGACCAAATTCAGGCCAAAGCGATTTTAACACGAGCTATATATTTTGGAACAAAATTATTGATCAATTTGTGACAAATCGGTGTCAATCCTGTAATTTTTTTGTAATTTTCAATCTTAGTTTTTCTTTTTATCTTGAATAAATAAACAAACTTACAAAAAACAGCATGAAGTTATTACAGATTATATAACATGCATCTTGAATGAATGAATTTAATTTCTTTTAGTTTTTTGTTTGGATTAAGGACTTAGTTACTTCAATTCATGAAGCTAGAAAAGATAAACTAAACTAAGCTAAACCATTTGAGTGTATTTTCTTTTTAAAACGTTTTTGCAACTCATATTAAGGCGAGTGAAGATAAGTATATCTAATAAAAAAGTGCAAAATAAAATTAAAAACGTCCAAGAGTACTGATTGTGATTCTAAAGTCTATTCAAGCTCGACACAATCTGTATGTTTAAGATGGAGTAGTCATTTGTGGGCTTGCTTATTTATTTAAACCTACTCTATTTTCATCTACGTAGTAGTATATTGTAAGTATGTTGTTTATACTTTAAAGGAAGTGAAAAAAAGTTTAAGATGAATATCTCCCTAAATTAACAGAAGGCAGAAGCTTTAATTTTATAAAATATGGAGTACAAAGACATAATGACCACGATTCATCAAACGTGGGCAGGAAGTTACCCCGTCCAAATAATGCACTAAACAAATCTGTACGTGTTGGTTGTGATCAATAATGTACCCTTTATTCATAGTTATAATTGAATGATGAAATGCTAAATCAACCTCACGTAAGTGTGAAGCATATTTTCTGTTGCTTGTGTTATGTGAATATAATGATTTAAGTAATGGTTAAATCAGCGCGTCTATTAACAAGAAATAAAAAATACAATGCATTTCAATTAATACACACGCATAAATATGTCGTTATACCATGGGAACCGTCCGTAGTGAGCATCATTCTCCCACAACTAAGACACGCGTGAACAACTTTTTTTATTTCAGTAGCAGAGTGTGTAACTCTTGTTTAAAGAAATGTAATTTACGTTGATGAGAAATATAATTCGAGGCAAGTCAGAATGTAAATTGTCTAATATGAAGTATAAGAAGCAAAACATTAGCGGGGGGTCCCAATCTAGATTTTAAAAGAATTTAGGAATCCAAATAAATCTAGGTGTCCCCAAATGAGATTGGTGTAGGTTCCTTCAAAATCTAGGTGTCCTCAACAATTCCATGGGCTTTCATTTATGCGATTCAGATGGATTTTAAAGGAATTTGATTACAAAAATAGGTTGAACTCATTCCACAAATATCTCACCCTCACCCCTAAAATTTGAAATAATTCGTGCTGCCAATGCTTACGCCACAAGCTCCGGGTATATCCATTCTACTTCTCCGCCAGATATCAGCTCTGGCCCCTATACTCTCACTCTCTCTTTCTCACCTTTTCTTTTGACCCAGTGAAAAACCATCATATGATGGGGTAAGGGCTGGAGAACACCTTACCAATTTATTGGGCGGAGATAGGGATACAAGATAGGGAGACAGAGAGTCAAAATCTACTGAAAGCAAGGCAAAACAAGATTAAACAACATAAGGATAAGCGATGACATCAAATTTGAGAATGTTTTTAAAACCAGACAGGGCCGGTCCTGTCCATTTATGGGCCTATGGGCGATACGCTAATTCGGGCTCATATCCAAGATAAACCGTAAACCATATAATTATTTACATATAAATTATGGTAAAAGTATCTAACGAAGTTTATAAAATAAAGGCGAGGATCACTTTATTATTATTTAAGCTACATAGTTAGGCAAAAGTAACAACACGAGTACAACAATTTGAAGCAAAACTCATAGACAACCTTCTTTCCACTAATAAGTAAGACAAACAATAAAAATATCACATATAACAACACTAAACTTTCTTTTAGTTACAACTGAAAAGATAAATGAAAATAAATATTACTATATATTGTATTCATAAGTTGAGAATGATTTATTGACTGCTAAGAATTTCAAGTTTGAAGCCTCGAAAGAATGAAGGTTTTCAAAGAGACAAAATATTTGGCCGCCAAGATGTCGTCCTCTTTAACTACTATTAGGAACTCAGATATAGTTTTTTTTCAATTTGGAAACAAATAAATAATTGGGTTGAGATTTGGGAGCCACGGGCTCTAAAATAATTATGTATATATATATATATTTGTTATGTTATAATTTAAATGAATAAAAAGCCTTGATGGCTAAAGAGATGTGAAGAGTGAAGAGACGTGTCTTTTATTAATCCAGCTACAGTTGTATTGCTTTTAAAAACTAAAACCAGTTCTACTTAAAATTAAATTAATGTATATATATATTTTTTTAAACTTGGCTTTGTTTAATTTTTTTATATATGTTTTGAATTTTCAAATTGTCAATAAAATTAAACATTGTGCCTAATTAATTGAGCTTAAGAATAAAAGAAGAAGCCTACTCACACAATATACAAAGAAAAGATTTTGGACCTATTTTTCTTCTATATTTTTTTGGGCCTAGGGCGGTCGCCCCTGTTGCACTCCCCCCAGAACCGGCCTTGAAACCAGAAGATTCAACATCAACTCCAAGGCTAATATATGACATCTCTCCTTCTTGCCTTTTGTTCCTTATATATGACCTTAAGGACGAGCTTGTTCAACAACTAGCCCTACACCATTTGACCGCCCAACTAACCAAACGCCGGCTACCCTGTTCTCGAGCATGGTGGCTTCACTCTTCCCCACCCTCACTTAGCGCTCCTTCCCCACACCTGAAACTCACTTCCCGGACCTCCTGGTTCATTTGAATCTGGACTCCAACGGCTTCATAGACACTCACAAGTCACAATTTTGTTCTCAGTGGTTGTCCAGAAATGCTAGCATTCCTCTAGAATCTGTGGATTCTCCAAATTCCATTAATTCCTACGAAAAATCTAAGTTCGGTCCACCCCTTAATTTTAATGTAAACAATGAAAAAGGATTCCAATTACTTTACATAAATAATGAATATGCTTTGTTCTTAATAATATTAGGGCTATAATAACAATTGATATACGATAGTATTAGTATATATTTAACGAAATCATACCCCTCCGTGAACAGTGATACTTTATCATATTTCCGCACCTAATGATGGTAATGGGTTACGGTCAAAGCTGTTTTTAATTGTGCCATGGTATCCATATTGACTTCAATGGGTATTGTTCACCGTCCTCTTTAGTCTTAAGAATACGTTATAATCAGAGATAATTAAAGATCCAATGAAAACACGGAGACAATGACATAAGTCGTTAGATTTCTTTGATTTTTTTATTTTATTGCTGATGTACACCTGCCTTATTATATGCTTAATTGTCTTTATGATTAAGTAATGCTTTCCATCGTCATTTATGTACGTATTAGTATATCTTATTATCACCTCTAAACGCTAGCAAGGACGCGCGGGTGTGTAGATATAATACAAATTTATCATCTCAAAATGATCACAAAACACTACTCCGTACTATAAACTAGAATTACTTTTAAAGAGAAATGCCGTTCAATTACAATACACGGAGTATCAATTTGAACATTTAATTCAATTACAATATACGGAGTATCAATTTAAACGTTTAGTTGACTTTCGTTTAACATAACGAGTAAATGTACTCGGTACATTTATTATAAAGGGAAGGGATACGCTTTTTCATCGTATATGCTACTTTAAATGTATTTTTGTTTCTCGTATATACGTACATATATAAAAGTCTTATTTGGTAATCAATTGTTAGGTAATAATTGTGTGTCCGTTTTGACCAATGGTCCCAATGGATGGTGATTTTTGGTGGTAATAAAGTATTTGGTAAAGTTAATTGTTTGGAGGTTGTAGTTGGTCGATCATTACTAAGTAACTAAGTAAGTACGTAGTACTATCGTGTATTGTATACGAAGTCTATAAGTAGTAAATACTCCGTATGTAGACAATTCATAGGTCACACTAGCAAAAATAGTTATTTAATCATTTCCAAACACTATCAATCCTTCATATTTTAGGGCAGAACCGCACCGCAAGAACCCGAAAACTTAGGCTTCAGCAGTGTTTGCTAAAGCTTATTTTAAGCACTTTTGAGCTTTTAGATTAAAAAAAGCTGTAAAAGGTGTTTGGTAATGACAACTTCTAATTAAAAAAAGCATTTTTAAGTTAAAAAGTAGAAGCTGGGTGTAGGCTGCTTTTAATAGCTTCTAGGCTCTTTTGTAAATATCAACAACTTTTGAGGGTAATCTTTAACCTAATTTACCTAGCCTTGTCCAACTCTACCCCTCTCTCATCCGTTTAATTCCCAACCTACTTCTCCATCGTCTTCCTCGCTCCAAATCTTGCAGCCACAGACAAGTTCTCTACTCTTGTCTCAAGTATTGCAGCGGCCATGCAATCTTCACAGGCAAATCCAATTTGTTGATGAAATTTGGCAAACACAACCCCGTCCCCATGGTCACACCTCTTTTACACACACACACAAAGATGTGGTACATCTTGAAAGCTCCAATACGTCTTCATATATACGAAGTATATATAAAGGACAAATGGCTTAAGTAATTTAATTAGGATTAATGCTCCAGTACATCTTGAAAGTAAATTAAGAGGGACTAAAGCAAAAGAGACGACACATACATACACGAAACAAAAATTGTCATTGTTGACCATCGATAGGCATACATATATGTGACCTGCAACATTAATCGATGTGTCTGAACAATGGGAGATTCAAAATCGAAAGATGTATGCAGACTCTTGAGGCTTGCTAATATATGCACCATATGATTTATATGTGGTTGAGGGCATTTTTGTATTTTCATCCAAATGTTATATCACAATCACTTTTTTATCAAACACTCCAACTTATATCTTTTAATTAAAATCACTTCTCTTTACAAACACTACCCACTTTTACTACAAATCACTTTTCCTATAATCACTTAAATAAATCACTTTTAAAAAGCACAAGTAAACACAAACACTCCCTTCGTTCGGTATCATTTTGATTTTCCCGTTTCCGTTTTATTTTGTTAAATAAAAAACAAAACTTGTTCGGTAAACATCGATTCCGTTTCTCGATATTGAAATTGCACAAAGCGTTTTCGGAAAACAAAATCGGTATTCCTTAATCCACAAAAAGACGTTTCCCTAAATCTATTTTTGCTTTCTCGCCCATAGCCCGACACCTAATATTAAAACCCACTTTCTCTTAGATCGCAAATTATACCGTACGACCGGCATACCATGTGCATGGTATGCCCGGTCAAATACGGTACCGTTTTTTGAAACAGGCAGGAGCTGCGATCTGCCACTGGTGCTCTACGATTTCTTTCATCAGCGATCCATCATTCCCATTTATTTCTATTTCTGTCTCCTTCCCCAACGGTGCTCTACGATTTCTTTCATCTGCGATCCGCCATAAGATACCGGAATTTAAGAGCTGCGATCCGCCACCCAATTAATAAAAAATGTCTACTCATGATTAAGAATTTAAGATAGTAGTGCGTTTGATCCCATCCGCAAAGTAGGAGAGGAAAGCATGATCTCCGAACGTTCCAGCCTTTATCAATTTGGATTGTTTGAGTGCAAATTAATTCAATTGCTGCAAATCAAGCAACACATAGCAACCATTTATTCATTAATTACTCTACTATATGTTTGCCTTGCTGATAATATAGAGTTACATTTCACATACAGTGGAATTACATTTCGGTTTGGCTAAAGTTACATTTTGTAACCCACGATTTACATTTCAATTTTCCTCAATAAGTTACATCTTGTTTACATGTGATTTACATTTTAATGTACGCGAGTTACATCTTAATGTACGCGAGTTACATCGCAAAACTATGCAAGTTACACAACAAAATAAACCTCTGCTTTTCAATCAAAAATGATTTTATTATTAAAAATCATTTTAATGGACTTAATATTAAAAACAAAACATATGCACTATTTATGTAAAATAATTGGACAATTAAACTCCCTTTTTTCATTAAACATGAGTTACATTTCAACGCACAAGTTACATATGTTGTTAACTGAAGTTACATTTATAACAACACGAGTTACATCTAATTATATACAAGTTACATCATTCATGCTACTAGGATGAAAATAAAAAAAAATTGTACACGTGTGTATTGTTCATGCGATTTTTTTTTTAAATTTGATCAAAACCACGTCGTTTTGGGGTGTGGGGCATGGTGCTCACCATGCTCCGGTTGCACGATATACGGGCTGTTCTTAGATCTCTTTTCTCCATCACCTCCCTTCTCTTTCTTCTCCCTAATAATCCCAATCTGCAATCTCCTATTGAAGCTATCAAGTCTGACATCTGCCTCCAAATTGCAGGTTTTTTCTTTCTCCTTTTCTAATATAGTCTTTCAGCTCTTCAAAGAAGATGTTGACTATAATCTCTTTTGTTCACACAGTTGGATGCCTACTGTTGATACAACGAATGTTGGTGGAAAGCTTATACAGAGTAAATTAATACTCCATATTTGATTACATACAAAAGTTGTCATTTGTTGATACATACGAAAGTGGAGAGCTTGATGCTTTTAGTAAAGCTTGTTAATTACATGAACGTTTTGAATCAAACCAAAACGCTTTCAAAAAATTGGCAACAAATGCTGGAAAAAAAAAATTGGCAAAAAAAAACAGGAAACATTTTTTTGTTTTCTAAAAACCAAAAACAGAAAACAAAGAATCATAACGAACGGGCCCTTAGCAAGTACAATGCACTTAAACGACCAACCCTTAAAGCTAATAATTAAAAGAAAAACATGTAAAAGCTTTCTCTGTTGGGGAGACCGATCGTTTCTTAATATCCAAAATGTGAATCCTAACCCAGGACAGGCACCCCACACCCTAACCCAACCGAATGTGAATGAGTAATTCACATTATGATCTCAAATAGTTTCTGACTTAGATGGTGCAGGATTTGGTGCGCACAAGGAATCATCACATTGGATGAAATTCTCACACTACAGCTATCGGGAATTGAATCTGAAATCTCAATCTAACAATCTCACTCAGACACCGTTGAGCTACCTGTGCGAGTGCAAAATGTGAATCCCATTCTCTATTTGATGGATTGGATAAGTATTCTAACTGAAAATTAAACTCCTATATTGCGATGAAAACTCTAAATACTATCAACTTCTATAAATGATGGCACCTAAATAAATGAACGGAGTAATATGACGTGATTTTGTTAAATAAAAAGTACTCCGTAGTAGTTATATTGCCATAAGAAGAAACTAGCACCGCTAAAGAACATTAAGGACCGGACATTCGAGTGAATTAATTCGAGAAAAAAAGCATTATTTTAATTTATACTTCAAGAGTATTACTTATATATGCTCGATCATTTTATATTCTAGATGTTTGCTCCATTTTCTTGTTTATGGTTGCTTTCAATAGTTCTTTTTGCTTTGAGCAAATTCTTACCATTAACGTACTTTTCGTCACCATTAACACCCAAATGAATGATATGCCATTCATTTGGCAAATAATCTCATATTTTTTTGGGCACAGAATTGACGAATACGAATGTCGGAATGTGCAATAAACTTCTTCAATTACTATTTTGCAGAAGTTAACCCTTAAAATTTGATATTTTTTGCCCGCTAAAAATAAGTTTGAAATTGATATTTTATATTGTATCAAAATTTGTCAATTTACAAAAAGAAAACTATACTATGAATTCTGGGAAGAGTGAGTGTATGTAAAAATAAGTCGTCTAAAAAAATAGCAGATTGCAGACAACCTTATTATAATAAATTAATAACTTGATTAAATAAACAAATAAGTTAAAAATAAAAGTACAATTCATGACATACGTACAAGAACTGTATCATTCCAAAAAAACGGGGTGAAGAATGTCATTATTTCAAGCGAAGGTTTAACACGGTATTTTATCACTGAATTATTTAGTACAACCTTTTTATCCCTTCGATCACTCGATGTCTCTACTCAGTTAACAAATAATTTAATGGCTTCTCTTTAAAAAAAATTAATGAGTTCCAATATTTTGGTTGATTTATAATTATATTGGTTAATGGAGATATCATTTATCAATTGATTGACTTGTCATTTTAAAAAATTCAAGGACCCAAATGAATGGCCTATCATTCAGGCATTGCCATCTTATGGACGAGGAAGAGAAAGATTGGGAGGGAGACATATTAGCCTCATTCATGGAAATAGTCTTTCTGATGTGGTAATTACGGGTATTGTTTTTCTCCTACCATATAGACATAGTACTCAGTGTTTGTATGTGATTAAATAGATGCATGGTATTTACTTTTGAAGTCCTAAAAATATGTTTTTATGACATACTCGGTGGAGAATAAGTAAATAACAAGATGACAATAGAAGTAAGGTGGTGGTAACGCATTCCAGCAGCGCCGACCAACAGTTGATGATTGTGAAAAATATATATTTAAGTTGAATTAAATGTATGCATGTAGTTTAGCAAACTAGGGTGGTAAGATACTAAGATGGAGTATGTAAATTATGTAATCGTATTCAGTGAATTGATTTTTTAAACAACAAATGCATAATTTTTTTTTTGTTTTATTCTCTATTATTATTGCCCAACATACCAAACAAGGGAGAGCATAATTATTAACTTATTACTACAACTAGTGGCAAGTGCGAAAAACAATCATACTTCATTCTCCAAGTTACACCAAACACAAGAAATAACTCCAATTCGCATTTTTCATTTTCTAGGCCTAAACATTTCAAAAGCATTTTCAAGCCTAGACAAATTTTTGTGGCTTAAACAGTGAGCATGCATGTGGTATACTTTTAAGAATCTTTATTGAGTTTAAGAATCAATTTTTTTACACAATTCCTAGTTAAAGAATCTATACATTTTATCTGATATTGAGTTTCTCAGTCTGTAGATAAGAAATAGATGGAAACTCCATGGTGTCTTTGCTCAAGGGCATCTGAACAATTAGTTTCAGTTTATTTTCAGGGGAAAATGGAACAATTGATGGGCAGGGAAAGATGTGGTGGGACCTTTGGTGGAACAGGACACTGAAGAACACAAGAGGCCACCTTGTTGAACTGGTCAACTCAAATAATATTCTCATCTCTAATCTCACTTTCCTCAACTCTCCATTTTGGAATGTTCATCCTGTTTATTGCAGGTGCTTTTATTTTCTTACTTGTTATATACCCCCCCCCCCCCCCTGAAGTGTAAATAGACCATAACTCACCTTGCCTTGGTTTCTACTTTTTCACCTAAATCCTAAACTATATTGTGCCATACAAATACTTATTAAATGCAATTCTACAAAAAGATATTAACATTCCACAAAACCTGTTTGTTTTTTCAGTAATGTGGTGATTAGGGACATGACAATCTTGGCTCCTCTCAACGCTCCGAACACGGATGGCATAGATCCAGGTACTTTTCACTTGGGGCATGGCCACTCAGCTGGACTATAATTTACTTGAGCTACATCACCCTAAATTATTAAAACCAATCAAATAACCTGTCTAATCCAAGATTTTACAACCCATATGTTCCTCTTCAATATTTCGATGTGAAACTATTAACACACATAGCTCCCATTACCACAGTGTCAGACACTAGCGTATAGAAGGGCTGAGGCAATGCAAAAATAAGAAACGAAAAGAGGCGCTCAATTGAAGCCTACAGAGCTTGACTGAATTTTTTAGAACACTGATATTGATAGAATTCAGAACTTGGTTAAGCTTCTTTAACTGGATAATAACAATAAAGTGTCCAACAACAGATGTTACCAGATTAGTGTCTAATATACAAGTACCTACTAAGGTTCCTTTTGTGGTGAGTGAGACTGTTCAACGGGGTAAACCGTTGCCCAGATAATCAATGATATAAATACCGTTGCCCAGAGCCAAAAGGCTAAAACCAATTTTATTCCAAGATGTGCAAGAATGAATCCTAACAAGGGGTTTAAATACACATCTACTAATTCTCAAACTAGGAAACAAAATCCTAGAAATCCTAATCAACCGCAACTGGGATACAGAATAATAAAGATCCTAATCAACTTCAAATAGGAAACAAATAATAGAAATCCTAATCAACTTCTAATAGGAAACAAATATTAGAAATCCTAATTAACTCCAAATAGGAAACAAATCAGGAAAATTAAAAAGAATAAATATTAATTAAGCAGACCGCAACCAGCCCACGAAGGTGGGCTCTAGCCCGTCCCCGCCTTCAGTAAACCCACGAGGGCTTCTGCCCCTCTTCTTCCAAGCCCATATTCTGCTTAATATCACCCTGGTTCTACTGTGATTTGTTTGTTTGTTAGGCATCCATAGTTTGACATATTAGACGTGTTAAAGTGTCCATGTCTACAATATATGTGTCTAGTATATAAGTATGACATAGAACCACCTCTTCCACACTAAAAGATTAGATTCAATGGGTACATAGTCTAACCAAGACCCTTTGAAGTCATATAGATGGTATCTCTTTTTTGAGTATTCCTTAATGAGACTCTAACGTATATGATAAAGAGTTGCTGATGTTTGGAATTATGTGTAATCTTTTGGCAGATTCAAGCATGAATGTCTGTATTGAAGATTGTTACATTGAGAGTGGTGACGATCTTGTCGCCGTGAAGAGCGGGTGGGACCACTATGGGATGAGAACTGCCCGGCCAAGCACAAATGTCATAATCCAAAGAGTTTCGGGCACAACCCCAACATGCTCCGGGGTGGGGATTGGGAGCGAGATGTCTGGGGGTGTCTCAAACATCATCATTAAGGATCTTTACGTCAGAGATTCAGCAGCAGGGGTTCGGATTAAGACAGACAAAGGGAGAGGAGGATACATCCTAAACATCACCATACACAACATTACAATGGAGAGGGTCAAGATTCCCCTCAGGTTCAGCAGAGGGGCTAATGACCACCCCGATGAAGGGTGGGACCCTAACGCGCTACCAGTAGTCAAGGGAATATCAGTCAGCAATGTTGTGAGTTTGGAAACAAGGAGAGCGCCTCTGCTGCAGGGTATAAAGGAATCACCATTTGAGAGCATATGCATGAAAAACATAAGCATCTTTGGCCTTGCCACGTCAGCGAGATGGAATTGTGAATACATATCTGGTGCCAGTTATGGTGTTTTCCCTTCGCCTTGTTCTCAGTTGAAGAGAAATGACTCTACGGATTTATGTGCTAACATGCATTAGTCTTGAGGTAGGACTGTAGGAGAAATTACTCAAATTTTTACCCACCATATCAGAGGTGGACTTTCTCATCTTATTTAAAATTTAAAAGTTAGATTAGTAGGTACTAACAATTATATGCATTAGGAATGACAAAACATCTCATGAATTATAGGTTTTACATGGAGGAAATGATATGTAAATACTTCTTAGGAATGATGATCACAGGCTTACACACTTCACCATTTCCAGAAAACATTGGAACCGCACTTGTGTTTATCCTTGCCTTCACATTCCAATTCCAAGTCATCAGTGATGAATGCTACTTTCTGTCATTCCATCATGAAACTTTATTTTAGCTTATTAATACCATATTCTCGGGTACTTCTTGTCAACAAAAAGTGGGGCGAAACCTTTTTCCCCCATAAATTGAGAAGAGTTCAAAATAAAACCTTTTGTTTGGCAAGGTCTTGGCAGCCAGTGAAATTTTCAGGGAACTTGCATGTTCCAAACTGAACAGTATAGGCTCTGGCAAAGTTAGCACCACTTGTGGCCAGTCTTTTCTTGTCATTCAATTCCTGAATTTACATAGTCTTAACTCTTCAGTTAGCTCACATTCCCACATTGATATAATATAAAACTATGGAGATTACTTGTATGGTTCAGTGATTTGGGAAGGGAAGGGTTATTTATACGGAGTATATGTTTAAATCATTCCTGCATTCAGATAAATAAAGTGAAGATAAAAACTACTCCCCCTCTGTTTCTATTTGTTTGACACACTTTCCTTTTTTGGACGTTTCAAAATGAATGTCACACTTCTTTATTTCCTTATTTGGTAAATAAATCTTTACCTAAACACTGCAAAACAGTGCCAAACAGTGTTCAAACAGTGCCAAACAGTGTTCAAACAGTGTCAAACAGTGTTCAAACAATGCCAAACAGTGTACTCTACAGTAAAATTTACCCCTCAATAACTTTTTTCCCTTAAATCTTGACAAGTCAAACTGTCTCAAACAAATAGAAACGGAGGGAGTATATAGAAATACATAATGTAATAACTAGTGATGCAATTAATTTCAATCTAAACCCACCTAATAAAGAAAAAATCAATACAATAAAAAAACCAATTATCAATGCCTCCTCACCGAATAAAACAAGCCCCAAGTCTTAATAAGGAGTAATATTTTGCAAAGATTATAGAGTAGTTTTGTTCATCACTGCAAATGGAGTGGGCACAGTAGTAGCTAATTACCTTGTTGGCTTTGCTTTTTTCAAGATAGTCCTCTATGATTCCAGCATTTGCAGGAGAAGAGGGAGAAGCAGCAGTGGCAAAAAGGGCAGCTGCAAGGGTAAGCAGAGCAACTCTTCTGCCCTTTTCGTTTTCAGTCTCCATACGAATTGCTTCTTGTCTCTGAAACTTGATTGTGGGAGGCAGTTTAGAACAAGTTGGAATTGGAGTTGTCATTGCAGAAGCACTCTTTGCAATGAACTGAGATGATGAAGCAGCGGGCGATGATATGGCATAGTTGTTGCATAACACGCTGGAGTTCATGGCAGCCATTTTTGCTGTTTGAAGATGGGATTACTTTCTAGAAATGCTAATGGGAAAAACAAACTTGATGAGAAGATGGGATTAAGCGGATGTGGAATTGGTATTTGGATTATTCATTGATGAGTTGATCAGGAAGAAGGGTGATGTGGAAAAGAATGAAGTTAGGATTGTGGCTGAGAGTGTGGATAAGGCGAGATTTCCCCCATTCCAATTGGTCTCTCTTGTGCGGCCAGCTTCACATGTGTTGACTTTGTGTGCTGTGGCATGACTAATATTAAAATTGCAACCCGTTTGGTAATTAACATTAAAATTATGAAAAAATGAGAGTGGGTATTACTAATAGAGTTACTACTTATCTTTTTTTTGAATAAAAATATGACTAATTACTATGTATGAGTATTGAATAATAGTCATTATAACGTATTTCAGAGTAAAAAGCGACTGGTAGGAGTTGTTATGCCGTGGGATCATCCCACGGTGAGCATCCTACTCGGCTACTCCCACATATAAAATGATGTCATTTAGATTTAAGCTTTAATTTAAAAAAAATCACGTGAACAGTATCCTTACATTTGTCTTAAATTTTTTCGTGATGTAGATCCTTTGTATTAATATGTAACTCGCGTTATTGTAAAATGTAAATCCAATGTTTTCAAATGTAACTAATGTAACTCGAGTTTTTTTCTCAATTAATGCTAAACAAATAATTAATTACAAAAATAAGGTTTGGTTAAATTTATTTACCTATATACTGCTACTCTAAACTATGGTCAGACGTGCCAGGAACATGGAAAGAGAGAAACGTCAATGCGAGGAGACAAAAATAAGGGGAAGACCTTAGATAAAAAAAATCTCTTTTTTCTTTAAACGGTTATATCTTTTACATTTTTGTTCCAACTTTTCTAAAAAATACACCAAATTTCATAACTTTTTATAATCTTTTATATGACACCAATTTATATATATATATAATTTAAATAAATTGAAGACCGTATAGAGTGAAAAGACTAGTTGTAAGCATTTTTTTTCAAATATGGGAAGATCTAGAGCCTGTGTGGTAGCACGAAAATCAGCTGTTTCAGTTGATTCTGCTGAAATTTATGAAGTTCTGGGTGAAGTGACTATATTGGCTAATTTTGCTGATTTAAGAAAAAATTATTTTTAAAATATATTTTATTAATAAAATAAAGAAAAAATTATATGTAAAAATAAATAAAATGGTCATCTAAAGTAACTTCAGCCAATACATCCAGAAAAGTAACATCAACCTTACTTTTTATGTTTATTACACGAAAACAAAATATATGTGTTTGTTGAAAAAGTTAGTTGATAAGCTTGATAAGCCGAAAAACAGTGTTGTCAAACGACTTCCTAATTGGTTGACTTAGGTTCAAAAGTTTTCATTAATAGATTCAATTGCTAAAATAAAGACCTCATAGTTATTTTAAAAATTGTTTATGTATATTTTTCACATGAAGTAAAAATATATGTAGCGAATGTATTGGCGATGCTAGATTGTATGGTAAAACTTGATTAACGGGGTGGCATTTTTCATATAAAAAAGGATGACATTACATCCTGAGGCCCCCAGCACCGGTCGGACAGTTAGCTAGAAGGATGTAAGTAGGTTTTAACCTCTCAATCAAGCATTCCAGCCCAGCTGCTTGAGAGGTTACCGTGCTTAGTGGGAGGTCTCGAGTTCGAATCCCGCTAGGCACATAAGGGCTTCGAACATAGTTAAAAAACATAGTAACCTCTCATTGCGGTTGTCAGGATTTGAACCCGAGACTCACTCCTATGACACCCCTATCTATCAGTTGAGTTACGCCCACAGGCACATGGTGACATTTTTCATAAAATTTAGCACGTGAAACAATTTTTTTATTTCCTATGAGAAAATATCTAGGAGGTAAACATAACAATGAGATACGTAGTATAAAATTTTACATTTGGATTAGTTTGTGAAAACTTTGAACCAAAATTACTGATCAGTTTTTCATATTTCTGTAAAATTTGAAATTTGTCCAAGTAAACGTCTTGTCTCTGTGTATTTTATAGCTATGAAACACTGATCTCATCTGGTTTGTTAAATTTGGTCTAGCCAGATCTAGTCTGTTTAGGATTGATCCGATCTGCGATGAAACAGTCCAAGTAAAAACATAATTAGTTTAGAATTATGTTTATTGACATATCATGGTTGTAGCATGCCTTTACCTCTTATATCGTCTACAATTTTTTTTTAACTTTATATATCCAATATTGGTGTTAAATGAAAGATCATAAAAAATTATGAAATTTGCTATATTTTTTAAAAAGTTTCGAGTAAAAATGTAAAAGATGAAGCACTTAAAAGAAAAAGTGAATTTTTATAACTTAGATTCCACCTGGCCACCTTATCCCCATCTCCTTAAAAGATAAAGCACTAATGGGGTGACTGTTGACATTAAAAAAATGGCGTCGTCATCACATGTTAACATTTCCGTGATTTTTTCGTCTCCAACGGAGTATGTTATCACCAATGTGATGCTGACCTGTCAACCATTAAATGAAACAGCGTTAACCTCAGAGCATCTTCAATGCTACAATGTGCACGATGCACATGTGGCATGAGAGAGATAGATACAAAAGATTGAATTTATGACATTTCTCTCTTATTCTTTCCACGGTTTTATATATTTTTGGTAAGTTTTCCTCTGCAATGTCAAATACAATGTCTACATCTAGACATTGTGCTTGACATTGTGAAGAAAAACTTACCAAAATGATACAAGATCCTTCAAATAAGGAGATAGATATTCTATTTATTATTTTTTAATTGGCTATCTCTCATGCCACGTATGCACCGTTCACGTTTTAGCATTGGAGATGCTCTCACTGTCATACCATAACATTACCTTTGACATGCTGACTCACCAAAACGCCAAATGAAAATCTTCCGCCGAATAGGGATGGCAATTTAACCCGATCCGATGGATACCCGCACCGAACCGAACCGGTCAAAATGGGGAAAACCGCTTTGACTGGGTAACGGGTACGGGGCGGGGAATACCCGATTTATTTAAACGGGTAATGGGGCGGTTATGGGTTTATACCTACCC